TTTATTCAAGTAATACACCTACTACTTGAATAAACAGTTTAACTGATACACCTACTCAGTTAAACTGTTTATTCATGTAGTAGGTGTCAGTTTAACTGATTTTATTCATGTAGTAGGTGTATCAGTTAAACTGTTTATTCAAGTAGTAGGTGTAGAAAAGTAGCGAACCGAGTGTTTAAGTAAGGAAGTGTTAAATAGTTGTTAGGTGTAGAAAAGAAGTAAACCTAGCGGCAAACGGGATTTTCTCACTTCCGATATCTACTTCCGATATCTATTTCCGATATCTTAGTCTCTTATTACACTTTCCAGGATCTGGAAATGTTATTGAGAAGGAATGAAATACATGCTTTTTGGCATGTTTTTGAAAAGAAATTTCATATTAGCAACAGGAAGACGTTCTATTGAAGATATCATTTCTAAATGAACGACAGTTGAGTATAATAATAAGTGTTCCTTATGTTGTTGTGGTTTATTAAAGCATTTGTATTTTAAAGATAATCATACATACTATAGTATAAGATATCGTGATATACATACTATAGTATAAGATATAGAGATATACATACTATAGTATAAGATATAGAGATATAAATACTATAGTATAAGATATCGTGATATACATACTATAGTATAAGATATAGAGATATAAATACTATAGTATAAGATATAGAGATATACATAATTTATTATAAGATATGAAGATATACATACTATGTTATAAGATATCGTGATATACATACTTCATTATAAGATATCGAGATATACATACTATGTTATAAGATATCGTGATATACATACTTCATTATAAGATATCGAGATATACATACTATGTTATAAGATATCGTGATATACATACTTCATTATAAGATATCGAGATATACATACTATGTTATAAGATATCGAGATATACATACTATGTTATAAGATATCGTGATATACATACTTCATTATAAGATATCGAGATATACATACTATGTTATAAGATATCGTGATATACATACTTCATTATAAGATATCGAGATATACATACTATGTTATAAGATATCGTGATATACATACTTCATTATAAGATATCGAAATATACATACTATGTTATAAGATATCGTGATATACATACTTCATTATAAGATATATAGATGATCTACGTACTCCATTGTAATCAAATAAACAGGCTGGGTAGTAATAATGATGTATGATCTAATTATATAAACAGGCTGGGTAGTAATAGTGATGTTTGATCCAATTATATAAACAGGCTGGTGTAGTAAGAGTGATGTTTGATTTAATCATACAAACAGGCTGGGGGTAGTAATAGTGATGTTTGATCTAATTATATAAACAGGCTGGGTAGTAATAGTGATGTTTGATCTAATTATATAAACAGGCTGGGTAGTAATAGTGATGTTTGATCCAATTATATAAACAGGCTGGGTAGTAATAATGATGTTTGATCCAATTATATAAACAGGCTGGGTAGTAATAGTGATGTTTATCAAACATCACTATTATTACCCCAGTCTGTTTATATGATTAACTCATCAAACATCACTATTACTACCCAGCCTGTTTATATAATTAGATCAAACATCACTATTACTACCCAGTCTGTTTATATAATTAGATCAAACATCACTATTACTACCCCCAGCCTGTTTGTATGATTAAATCAAGCATCACTCTTACTACACCAGCCTGTTTATATGATTAGAATCATCACTATTACTACTACCCAATCGGTTTATATGATTAAATCAAACATCACTATTATTACCCCAGTCTGTTTATATGATTAACTCAATCATATAAACCGATTGGGTAGTAGTAATAATGATGTTTGTTCTAAAGATATTTGTTTGAGTGTTATTCTGTTTTAGTTGAATGATATACAATCAGACATTCTGTGACGAAGAAGTGGAAAACCTTTTAACACAGGGAACAAGTATAGTGAAGTAACACGTGTTTATAATAACTCTGAACCAAACAAACTTGAACGAAATAAAAACGTACCATCTCAGTTTCGTCTGAGTTACGTCTTTCAAGTCTCCCGAGGGCTTAATCTCCTGAAGGAGCCATGACAGTGACAAAAAGTGTAAAAATACTGTCATTTGAAGACAGTATTGTTTATAATACCCAGAGAAAAGCGATTTAACTGATACGTAAAGAACGAATAAATAAAGTATTATTTTTGTATTTCAACAGGATCTTCTTGGTAAACTCTCCATACGCTTAGTCTTAAACACACCTCTTAACAGCACGAGTAGCGGTCTTTCATTCAGGAGAACATCTTAAAGTCCAGTTAAGTTGGCGAATTAGATATGGACTTCTTATGATAAAAAAAAGTCTAAGCTTCAGAGTATAACTAGAGATGGAATAATGTCTAATTCCACAAGAAAATTCTCTATTCACGAATACAGCAGCAAGACTTAAATATAGACTTAAGGAAACAATGTACGAATTTAAAATAGGCTAAGTAACATTTACGATTAACTTAATCATGTACTAGTAATAGGGATGATTGTTATAATGATATAAGGTATATGTTGAAGTAGTAATAGTGATGATTGTTATAATGATATAAGGTATATGTTGAAGTAATAATAGTGATGATTGTTAGGATGATATAAGGTATCCGTTAGAGTAGTAATAGTGATGATTGTTATAATGATATAATGTATCTGTTGAAGTAGTAATAGTGATGATTGTTATAATGATATAAGGCATCCGTTAGAGTAGTAATAGTGATGATTGTTATAATGATATAAGGTATCTGTTGAAGTAGTAATAGTGATGATTGTTATAATGATATAATGTATCTGTTTGAGTAGTAATAGGGATGATTGTTATAATGATATAATGTATCTGTTTGAGTAGTAATAGGGATGATTGTTATAATGATATAATGTATCTGTTGAAGTAGTAATAGTGATGATTGTTATAATGATATAATATATCTGTTGAAGTATTAATAGTGATGATTGTTATAATGATATAAGATGTCTGTTGAAGTAGTAATAGTGATGATTGTTATAATGATATAATGTATCTGTTTGAGTAGTAATAGTGATGATTTTTATAATGATATAATGTATCCGTTAGAGTAGTAATAGTGATGATTGTTATAATGATATAAGGCATCCGTTAGAGTAGTAATAGTGATGATTGTTATAATGATATAAGGTATC